AAACCCTTCAACAGCTTCTCACTGTAATGAGAAAACCACCAGCACAGGAAGGCTTATAAGGCCCTAGTCCACCATTCTCTCCGGTGGCCTGACACTGGCCCGGGGGCGTCTGTTGTACTAGCTTTCGCCTCGGCCTGCAATGCTCTTCCCCCGCGACGTGGTGCCTGCAGGATCCTTGGCCGCTGTCATGGCTGCCCTCTCAGTGATGTCCCCGGAAGGGCTCTGATTGGCTTAGACGGTGTCACATGCACACCCCTGTCCAATCATTTGTGGCCACAGAGCAGGTAGCTGGGCAGAAACATGACTGACATGAGCCCTTCTGGTTCTTTCTGGAATTGGAGGGCAGGAAGGGGGAGCAGTTCTTGGAGGATGGGTGGACGATGGACCCCACACATGCTGTCTCTCTACACTTCTGCTGTCTTCAGTGTGCTGGCCTCTTGGCAGCAAGTCACCTACTGGGAACCGCCCCATCCAGTTTCCAATGACAGCTTGTTTGTGGCTCATCACGCTCCCTCCATACTCCCAAAGCTCTTCCTCCTCCATTGAAGCCCTAATCATCGCATCAACACTCCCCCATGGTGAAAGCCAGAAACTTCAAGGTTATTGTCAGTTTCCTCTTTCACAGCCTGCCTCCCACACCTCATACCCATCAACAATCCCATCCATTGCGTGGGTTACATGTGGCCCCACCCTGTTCTCTCCTTTCTGTCACCTCCATAGTATTGGTTTATCCTGTCTTCTTGCAACTAGTGGAACCTTCTGCTCACTGACCTCCCTGCTTTGGTCTCTGACCCTGCCCTTCTCCTAACACCCTTCCTCCCCCTTTATCCCCTGTGATTCTCTCTCCATCTGAATTGCTGTCAGAAGTGACTTAAATGTCCATGTAATTTTTCTGTTGACCTTTTCCAGTGTCTACACTGGCTCTCTGATGCCTACAGGATAAAGCCCAAACTCCTCAGCATGGCATTTGAGGCCTCCAAATATCTGTCTAGGAGGGACAGATTGGGAGACAATTCTAATTCTCATGAGACACTCAGAGAACTGCCCCACACATGGTCCTTCCGTGATCCTGTTCATTGGCTGCTCTTCACTATAAATGGGTTTTTGTGAAATTCCACCCCTTTGGCCAGATACCATCACCCCATCCCATCCATTTGGAAAAATCCTTTATCCTCTAAGACCCTGTTGGAGGGTTACCTGCTCTCTGACACCCTCCCTGAGAAATACTTTTTTTCTGTGCTCCAGGAAAATGCAAGTCATAGCAAGAAACATATAAATTAACAAAAAAAAACAAAGAAATTATGTCCATAAGAATAAATGTAAAGACTGGATTTCATTCCTCGATACTCTAAATGCCACCATTCCAAACTCCTTACCTACTGATATTTCTCCCACAGTTAGACTGCCCCACATGCACATAGAAATGTTAAAGACTTTACGCAACATTCTTCCCACATGTTTGTGAGACAGCGTGACTTGGGCATTGGGGAAGGTGGAGAGAAGCATTCACCCATATCTAACTCCATCAACTCTGCCCCTCTCTCTGGGAGGCTAATGCCCACTGAGGGTCTGGCCACACTGTGACTTTCATGGGGTTTGGGCTACTAAATACGTATATATTTAAAATCCTTTATTCTCCTCTTTTTATATATTTTACAATCTTGTTGGTGTAAAAACAAACAATCTAGGCTGCCTTCATTATCACATTAATTATTATCATATTCATTTTTCTGCTGGATTGAAAATAAACCCAAAGGTCTTCCCTCCCTCCTCTTTGAGACCTTAGAGAAGAAATGCAAATTAGTGTTTTCTGCTACAATCTTATCAAGACTCACTCAGTAACATGTCTTTATTCTCTCCAGGCAAAAGTCACCAAGAGACATACCATTGATCCATCTGCTAAATGCACAACATATAACAAAGTATGTCTTACACAAGTGAGTCTTGTAAATATAGAGTAACCCAGAGAGGTTGGCATTTGATGCTGTTTTTTTGCAAGGAGGTAGGATTGTATTATGGGGGCCATTAGAATTGCTAGATTATTGTTAAATTTTTTTTAATTTATTTTTTCTTTATTGATTTTAGAGAGGTAGAAACATCGATGAGAGAGTACATCGATTGGCCGCCTCCTGCATGTCCCCCCCCCCCCACTGGGAATCTGACCCACAACCTGGGCATGTGCCCCGATCAATAATCAAACCAGCGACCTCTTGGTGCATGGTTGACATTCAACCACTGAGCCACAATGGCTGGGCATTATTGTTATTGTTTATATCCAATTCATAGTTAAGGAAACAGAAAATCAGAGGAGTTTAGTAACTGGGCCAAGGTGGCATAGAGAACAAATAAAATGGCAACTCTAGGATTTCAACCCCAGCCTGTGCTCTTATGAGTTGCTTTAGACAGATTGAGTCTGAGGTGTCCAAGGGCCTTCCAGGGGAGAGAGCTATCAAGAAAGTATTTAGATAAACTAGTTCAAGAGTTAAGTGAGATCCTTAGCTTGTCATAGATTTGGGAATTATCTGAGTACTGGTGGCTTCTGGGTGACCTTCTAAGTACTCACCTACCCAGTAAAATTTATTGAGCACTGACTATGTGCTAGACATCACTGTAAGGACTGAAGACACAACTGTGTACAAACTAAACAAAGTCCTCACCCCAAGGAGCTTACAGTCTAGAGGCAGGAGCAGATAGTAACAGTATTATGTGTCGTGAGGAAGATAAAGCCACATAATGTAGTACGACTGAAGGCACTGAGAGGGTTCAGAGGGATAGTGGAGACACTGGTCAAGGGTATCATCAGAAAGACTCGGGGAAGAGGAGGACTATTTGAGCTGAAACTTGCCTGAGGAAAAGGTACCAACCATGAGAAATGGGGAACATGCAGGGCCTTTCCTGCAAGAGCAGCAAGTCCTGAGGGATTCAGGCTTGGCATGTCTGAAAGGCCCGCCTGATGGGAGAGGAGAGGGGCTTGGAAAGGCAGGAAGAGCCAAAGGTGTGCAGAGGGTCCTGTCCTGGGCAAGAAGGTCCAATACAGGGCAGCCAAGGGTCAGCTGTGAGGTGGGAAGGGAAAAATAAAAGTCAAGAATAGACCAGCTGGTGTGGCTCAGTGGTTGAGCATTGACCCATGCACAAAAAGGTTGCTGATTCGATTCCCAGTCAGGGCACCTGCCCAGTGGGGGGCATGCAGGAGGCAGCCAATCGAGGTTCTTTCTCATTGATATTTCTGTCTCTCCCTCTCCCTTCCTCTCTCTCTAAAAATCAATAAAGAAAAAAAAAGTCCAGAGAAGACACTCTCCTAAGGAAGGAGAAAGATGGAGGAAGGAGCAAGAAAGCAGCAGCAGCAGGGCTGGCTACACAATTTATGGGCCCTTTCTTAAAACAGCAAGAGCCTGGCTGGATGGCTCAGTTGGTTGGAGCATCGTCCTGTACTCCAAAAGGTTGTGGGTTCAGTTCCAGGTGGGGTGTGTATGGGAGGCTACGGATTTATGTTTCTCTCTCTCTCTCAAATCAATAAAAACATCCTTGGGTGAAGATTAAAATTATCAATATCAAGACGGCAACAGCAGAGCATTGAGCCTAGCGTGGGTCCTTCTGAGAGCCTGGCATTGTGCAACTGAACAGGACCCACAGCCTGTGACACTGGCGGCAGAACCGAGGCCCTCCTTTCACCCCAGGCTGAGCTGAGCCTTACAGGCAGGGCCCCACCACAGGGTAAAGGTGGTGGCTTAAAATGATCTATTTTGAAGAAAATGTTGGGTTTGTACGATGTTGCTAAACTAACATAATTTATGTAGCTGATTTCATGGACTCTTGATGATTGTATTCCACTTCTGATAGTTGTAGTTTTTCCTTTTTTCTTGGAAGGTTTGGTGGGGAGTGTGGGCAGGAGCCAGTGCCATTTCTCCCCCTCTCTCCCCACCACACCACGACAGGACGAACCTCTGAGCAGGTGTAACGCTTTCTGTATTCTGGGCAGGTCAAGTTGGGTGGAGCCAAGAATGCTGAAATCTGTATATTATGCCAAGTATCATTTATATCAAATTAATCCTCCTTAATCTTAGGCAACTGCCTTAACAATCAACACTAGGGTCTGACCTTGGTAAACCATTTACCCTCTGTGAACCTCAGATTTCCTTATCTGTAAAATGGAGATAATTATATTTCACAGGGGCACTGTGAGGATTAAATATATGAAAACCTTTTTAAAGAGCATTACATTCTCAACAAATGCCCATTAGTGTTATTACAAATCTGCTCAGCAGTTTCTTCATTGGCTCTTGGGCTCCTGGGCCCTGGTGTATTTATTATTATTTTTAATATATTTTTTTTATTTTTAGAGAGAGGTAGTGAGGAGAGAAACATTGATGAGAGAGAAACATTGATTGGCTGTCTCCTGCACATCCCCTACTGGAGATCAAGCCTGAAACGTGCCCTGACCAGGAATCGAACCAGTGACCTCTTGGTGCATGGGTCAAGGCTCAACCATTGATGTTTCTATCTCTCTCTTCCTCTTCCTTCCTCTCTCTGAAATAAAAACATATAAAAAAGTAAAAAAATAAAAATAAATATGATTCTTTCTAAGGACATTTTAAGTTTCCATGGAAAAATCCAAACTCAGCCCTGGCCAGTTTGGCTCAGCGGTTAGAGCATCGGCCTGCGGTCCAGAGAGACCCAGGTTCAGTTCCTGCTAAGGGCATGTACCTTGGTTGCAGTTTGTCCCCGGCCCTGGTTGGGTTGTGTAGATGTCAGCCATTCGATGTGTCCCTTTCACGTCGATGTTTCTCTCTCTCTCTCTCCCTCCCACTCTATCTGAACAAAAAATGGAAAAATGTCCTCGGGTGTGGATTAAAAAAAAAAAAAAAATCCAAACTCAGAGAAAGAAAGGTAGGGAATGAATGAATGAATACAATTTGGGGCTCACCTCAGGGATAAGATGCCAAACTTGAGCTTTTGGTCAAGGTTTCTGGCTATTGTGTCTTAGGGTCCCCCAATGCAGCACAGGATCTGATTGTGGCTATTTGTCCTGTAACTTGATCACATAGTACAGTCCACTGACTATAGTCAAGAGACAACGTCCAATCTTGAACCTAGAAATTCACTGAAATAAAGTGAGGTGGCTGTTATCTACCATTTCAGTGTTTTTACCTGAAAATTCACCATCAGGACTTCTTCCACCTCTCAAATCATAACCTGCACACAAAATTAAGAAACATACAAAAATCTGTCATCCATTGATGCAGCCGAGCTCTGAAAATAGCAGCTGCAGCCACAAACCAAAGAACAGGCCTTTGTGAAGAGTGAAAGATGCCGTTTGTTCTGAGCTCATCGTGTAAGCCACAGATAGAACTCTCCACTATTACTAAAGTAACATCTTTAAGCAGAGAGAGGAATCAATTAGAGGAAAGTAGGATGTTTTAGTACATGATTTTCCTTTCCTACTAAGGTTCCAAAGCCCTAATTTTCCAACCAGAACCCAAGAGTATGAATTTACATGAAGGCAGGTAGCGAACCCATTGCAAATGGTATTAGCAGAGGCCAGACTCAGAATAAAGTACACAAAATCGGAGATGAATCACTTTTGTGGTGTAAGGGTATTCTCTGGGTATTCATGTTACACCCTGACCCTGGACACCACCTTCAGGAACATGGCTTCACTCCAATATCGCCAGTGCACCTGTTTCAAATTAAATTGTCCCTCATTTTTCAAACAACATTGAATTTGATCTCCTCAGCCAAATTAACACTACTTAGGAAGATCAGTTTCAGAAACACTTCTCTATTAGACTCGAATGTAAACCACACAACTTCCTGAGCAGTTTGACATGTGGAAGCTACCTTCCCAGCCAACGCAGCACTTTTTTCTGCATTAAAAATATCAAAAGATGCCATTTGGAGTCAGCCTGGTAATCCAGTCTGGTTTTTTTTGAGTGGCACTAAGGTCATACTTGAATCTACCCTGACCATGTTTAATTGTCCTCTGCTCATCATTAGCAACTCCAGGGCTGAAAAATTATGCAAAGTCCCTTAGGGAGCTCAAGTTAGTCTGACAAAAAGTCAGAGAGCAAAGGAAAAGCTTGGCAGATGGCAGAGAAGAAAGGGGAGCAGGGGGCAGGAAAAGGCTCATTTGCTTTACCTAAGTCAAAGGCCAAGTCAGGTGCCAGGAAGATGGAATAAAAACTATTCCTATTGCCCTGGCCAGTGTGGCTCACTTGGTCGGATGTCACCCTGTGCACCAAAAGGTTGCTGGTTTGATTCCTGGTCAGGGCACATGTCTGGGTTGAAGCTCGATCAGGAGTGTACAGGAGGCAGCTGATGACGTTATGTTCTCATATAGGTGTTTTTCTCACTCTCTAAAAATCAATTTTAAAAACCTTTAAACCCTGGCCAGTTTGGCTGTGTTAGAACATCAGTCCAAGGACTGAGGGGCCACAGGTTTGATTCCCGGTCAAGGGTACGTAGCTGGGCTGCAGGTTCAATCCTCAGCCCCGGTTGGGGCCTTGCAGGAGGCAACCAATCAATGTCTCTCTCACATTGATGATTTTTCCCTCTCTCTCCCTCCCTTCCACCCAATCTAAAAATCAATGGAAAAATATCCTCAGGTGAGGATTAAAAAAAAAATTAAACACAGAACTGTTCCTGTTGCTTTGAAATACTTCAGAGATGCAAGGAGGGTCTTTAGCAGACCACTGAGTTAATGTATCTATTCATTTCAAAAGATAAACGAAATACCATTCCAGTGACTCAGCCTTTGCCTTTTAAATAAATTAATTGCAGTGGAAAATTTAGGAGCTCTCTTAGGTCCCACCTTTTAAAATTCATTAGGTGAAGACAAGCAAGGTAGATGTTAGCACAGCGGCAGAGGGGTGGTGGCCTCACTCAGATACCGGTGCAGGGCAGGGTGAGGAGGGTGTCTACATAAGGAAGTGGTAGCAACAATGGCTTAGAGTGGAGTGACAGAGCCCAAGATCTGAGAAGGGCATCTATGTGTGGGTGGTGGTAAAAGAATGGTTATGTAGGAAGGAATTGGCCCAATACAATGAGGATCATGGGAGTTTGGAATTATTAGAAAAAGGAGTCACAAGTACAGAGGGGGAAAATCAAAACCAAAATGAATTCTGTGGTGTTGGGTTGGAATCAAAGGTATTGATCTGAAATGATGGTTTTCAATATATGCATTTATACAAAGGTAGATGCAAGTGTATGTATACATACATACATACAGCCCTCAATTCCATCTGCTTAAGTGGCCTGGGAACAGGAACACCCCAATAGCAATGAACACACTTAGGTTGGTTTCTAAATACCTTTCTCCAGTAAAGAAACATAACTCCGTGGGGGGAAATGTTGGATTCAGACTGTGGCAGAACAAGTACACGATGAGCCTACAACAATCTGTGCTTGAAGTACTCCAAGAATAATGGGCACAGGTCAAAATGTTACAGAAGCATTTGAAGGGGTTCCCGCTGGCCAAATCTGGGACAGTAAGAGCATTAAAATAATGATAGTATATAATCATTGAATAAAAAAGAAACCCAGGAGTCCACATTAAGTAAAGGATGAGAAAAGAAAGTCTTCTGTATAGAACCCCAATGCAGAGGTAATGGGATTAGAAAACACCGTGTGACCACCATCGGAGTAGTAATCAGGCAAGAAACAGCAAGATACTGAAAGCAGAGGGTCAACTTTGGTGAGGAACAGGTTATTTATAGTCACAAAGCATTACCCTACAAAATGCTTACTAGTAACTTTTCAGTGGAGAATCCCAGCAGACAGCACCTCAATTAAGTGATCAAGGTTAACATCACCAATGGAGTAATTCAAAAGCATGTATCCCAACAGGAAGCAATGGGAGGACAGCACCACCTGATATCCCTGCTGAAAAGGTAGAACTTGAAGAACCAAATCATGAGGGTGTACCAACAAACCAAATTTGATAAGCAGTCTGCAAAATAGCCTATCTTGACATCTTCAAATGTCAAGGTCATGTTAATAAGCTTGAAGGAGGCCTGAGACATGACTACTAAATGCAACAAAATGGCCTTTTTTATAAAAAACAAAAAGTGATATAGGATATACCGGGACTACTGGGAAAACTTGGCAACCAATGTGTCTCTCTCACATCCATGTTTTTCTCTTTCTCCCTCCCTTTCTTCCACTCTCTAAAAAAAAATTAATGGAAAATATCCTCGGGTGAGAATTAACAACAAAATATATATATACACACACACACACACACACACACACACACACGTATATACATATCTTGTCTTTTCACATATATAACTAAAATAATAAAAAAAATTATGAAAATATCTAAGTTTTAGTTGAAACTACAAAATGTAGGAATCAAGAATTGAAATTTTTGCCCAGCTGGCGTGGCTCAGTGGTTGATCATCAACCCATGCACCAAGTGGTCACTGGTCTGATTCCTGGTCAGGGCACATGCCCAGATTGTGGGCCCCATCCCTAGTGAGGGGCATGTAGGAGGCGGCCAATTGATGTTCCTCTCATCGATGTTCCTATCTCTCTCTCCCTCTCCCTTCCTCTCTCAAATCAATGAAGAAGGAGGAAAAAAAAAACTGAAATTTTTTATGTGGTAAAATTAATAACTCATGGACTATGAGAAACATAAAATAACTGAAAAAAAAAAAAAGCAGAACAGAACATAAAAAAAGCAACACTGATGACAAGCACATTCAGAAGTGAAGTGATGTGACTAAAAGAAAGTTCTCTCAATTCCTTTTGTGTAAAACATTTAGGGGCATAATAAAAAAAATTAGGCAAATTTGCTAAAAGTGAAGATCCTTTTAATTTTTAGACACAGGTTACTTAGAAAAGGGGAAAAGTACTTAAAATACCTTGAAGCCAGGTATTTGAATTCCCAAATAATTTAATGAACTTTACAGTCAAATGACACTATCATATATACTTTCACATGGAAATAAACTCTTGATGCCTTTAAAATTCCTAATTTCCATGAATACTTCAGTTATTAAGATAGTATAAAATAGCAAGAAAGATTGAGATCTCAAAGTAAGAAAAAGCTGGAGAAAAGTATACATTAAAGGGCTTTGCAAATATACAGCATGATTGTTAAAATCTTGATAAAAAGTAATTTTTCCTTGGTTCAAGGCTCAAGTTTGTTTGATTCCTTGAAGTGTCCAACAAGACACCATTTGTAGAAGTTCTTTTAAAAAAGCCAAGGAGGTCCGGCCTGTGTGGCTCAGTAGTTGAGCATTGACCCTTGCACCAAGAAGTCACCAGTTCAATTCCCAGTCAAGACACATGCCCAGGTTGTGGGCCCGATCCCCAGTGGTGGACATGCAGGAGGCAGCCAGTCGATGTTCTCTCTCACCAATGTTTCTATCTCTCTCTCCCTCTCACTTCCTCTCTCTCTAAAATCAATACAGGAAAAAATTTTTTTAAAAAAGTCAGGAGCCAGTGTTGGACAGAAGAGGTTTTCGATATTTGCACTGAATCCAAACTCGGTACATTGTCAGCTGTTTCCCCCGGTTCACTTGAAGTCGGCGATCCACCAGGTTCTGAACTTTTTCCAGTCCAGCAGTTGTGAAAAGTGTGTCCAGTTCATCTAGTTTGGAAAAGAGATGTTTATATATGTTCCCCAGAAGAAAGAGTATAATGTCTACCTATGTTAAATGGAGCTCCTTGAGACTGCTGTCATTATTTATATATTTTAAGTGGCCTCAGCAGGGCTGTTTAATTATAAATGCAGCAGTGGCTTGGAAATAGCAAGTTCATGTTTAGGTAGGGGAAGCCAAACCACCTGGGAAGGGCGGCCTGGCACCCAAGGAAGAGCCTCTCTAAGAGCCAGCTGATAAGGAAGATTTTTCATGAAGGGCTCTGTGAACACCTTAAAATTACATGTGAAAAATCTACATATATGTATGTGAAAACCTTTTTTTAAGGGGAGAGGTTCCACCACTTTAACCAAAGGTACAGAAACGTATGTGACATGACAAAGGTCCAGCAGTGGAGTGTTCTTAAGGCACTGGCTGAGAGGAAACCTGCAGCGGGGCAAGGAGAGCAGCTCGGGGTGGTATGTGGAACCCAGTGAACAGTGAGTTCACCCTAACTCAGGTGCACCTAAGGCACAACCCGGCATAGAGGGTGAAACAGCTAGTTTCCTGTTTTGAACAAAGTGACAGAAAGGAAGGACAGACAGCAGGACAAGGCGGAGGATTGAAGGCATACCAGCTGAGTCTATCTGGAGAAGAGTGAGCGGTCCAGGGTGGCTGTGAGGGACAGGGAAGGGCAGGAAAAGGCTGTAAAAGGTAGGAGGGCCTCATGATCTTACTTCTAAAAGTCCACCGAGGAACATTTAATATAGCACTTTGGGAGTGTTAGCATGAAGATGATTGTTCTTTTCATACCTTGTGTGAAGAAGTAAACTCTGGTGCCATCACCTCTCACATAGAAATTTTCAGATAGACACTGACCTGCAGAGTGATATGGCAAAAATCAGAGAAACTTTAGAGCACTTTCTGGAATTTCACTGTCAATCACATGCATTTCATAGACCATCTTCTTAGGCAGAGAACAGAATTCTTTCTTGGTTATACTTGGTACTGTGCAGGAACCTGCAATTTCTCTCCTACAAAGGAGTAGTGCTTTGGAGACCAGCAGCCCAAGGGGAATAATTAAGCTGCAGGCTAGGTAACACATGCAACTATCAGCCCCCTGGTTCTAGAGTTCTGTTTCACACTGAAACAGGTTGCATTCCTCCCTTTCCCTGACTAAACAAATACCATATACTCTTTGTAAATAAATAAATAAACAAATAAATAAAGCTAAGTTTAAGGAAAAGAAACTTTAGACAGCCACCAATAGCATTTTGGTGACTGTTATTTCAATGTCTCTCCATGTGTCTACACATACATATTCATAAATATGATAACACATATACCGTTCTTATCTTGGACAAGCTCTCCCTTTGCTGCTAAACCCTGACTTGATGCCAATTTAACACCCTGGTGTGTAATCCTTCACCTTCTGAATGTCAACATAATCTTACTTGCTGTACTTACTTACGTATTTCTCCCCAGCTACTGTTACATGTGGGATCAAGTTTGAAATACTCATCTGCGTACTGCTTTTCTCACTTGGTAATATAATAGAACCCCCTCCCCCACACCCAAGACCAGCAATATTGGGTCTATCTCACGTGACAAGCACTATATTCCCCTATACAGAGGCATTCATTTTGTTTCCAAGATTTTGCTTATGTATATATTATGGGCTGGTTCTTGAAAAATTCCCAAAAGAACTGTTAGACTGAATAGATTAATATAGGGCATTTAAAAAGGCCATAACAATTCATGTTTTAACAGTAATGGAGAAACATATCTCTTTCTTTGAATTGGCTAGCAATAGGTATTTCATTGTTGTTTTTATTGCCTTGAAATTTTGTTTTTGGCCACTTGAATACATTCTTCTGTGAATCAACTCTAAAATATTCCTTCCTTGTTTTTTGAGCGGGTCACTGAACTTTTCCTTATCAATTTGCCAAGAGTCCCTTGAAGTGCACAGATATTAAATCTTTATCTGTTTTATGCACAGAAAATAATTGTCTTTTAACTTTTTTTTTTTTTAATCCTTACCCGAGGACATTTTTTGTTCAGATAGAGTGGGAGGGAGAGAGAAACATCGACGTGAAAGAGACACATCAAGTGGCTGCCACCTGCATGACTAACCAGGGCTGGGGACAAACTGCAACTGAGATATGTGCCCTTAGCGGGAACCAAACCCGGGTCTCTGGACCGCAGGCTAACTCTCTAACAACTGAGCCAAACCGGCCAGGGCGTCTTTTAACTTTTTAATGGCATCGTTTGCCACCACATTTAAAATTATTTATGTAATTAAATGTCTTTTTCTAAAAACAGCTCTTTTAAAAAGTAGCTGTTTTGGTTAAAAAGACCTCCCTAATACCTAGATTATACAAGTCTTCAAAAACAGACCACCCTTGTCATATATTAAGTGGCTCTATCTATGAAGCTATAATTCTAGAGTGTCTATTCTGTTCCACTGATTTGAATGTCTATTCTGATGGCTAAACCATTGTTTTTCTTTTTTTTTTTCCTTTACTGATTTTAGAGAGAGGAAGTGAGAGGGGGAGAGAAGGAGAAACATCGATGAGAGAAAACATCAATGGCTGCCTCCTGCATGCCCCCTCACTGGGGACTGGGCCCACAACTTGGGCATGTGTCCTGACCGAGAATCGAACCGGCGACCTCTTAGTGCATGAGTCAGTGCTCAACCACTGAACCATACTGGCCAGACCCATTGTTTTGATTATAGTAGCAAAATACCTTTTTTAAACCGAAGCTGAGCCATGTCATGGCGGCCATAATCTCGCAGAAGCATCATCCCTCCAGGTTTCAGGAGCCTGCTCAGTCTGTTGATAGCCTTCTGCATCCTGTGGGGTAACAGGGAATGAAGATCAAGTCTCTTTAAGGACAGGATTCCTTTTCCTTGTTGCATATTCTGAAAAGCCAGTGGAGTTCCTAACCCTGAACTCTTAGATCCTCTGTCCTTGCTTTAGTTAGAATGGGAGCACACATCCAAATTTCTAATGTGCCTTCTGGGGCCTGCTCACAATTGAGGATAACCTGCTTCTGTCTTAGGGCTCCACCATAGGGAATGTGACATACTCTGCCTGGATCACTTCCTATTCCTCCTGGGATTGCCTCATGAGGAAGTCCCTGCTCTGTGCTCCCAGGGCTCTCATGGGAGCCTTGGTCACCTGCTGTGGGACTGCCAGTGAACTCATCTGCCTGCCTCACTTGGCCCAAGCTCTTTGAATGCAGAGACCAGATCTTTCCATCTGTTAAATAAAGACTGAACCTCAAGAACTTACAATTTACATGGGGGAGAAAGTCAGTATGCAAATGAGTAACTATGGGCAGAGTGATTCACATTTCCTACTGCACTTTCCACATTTAGGTTCGGTGCAGATTTCAGCTTTTCTAACTTCAAAAGTATAAATGTTACAAATTTTTGATAGTTTATTTAACTATTGAATAGCTTTAATGGTCCATAGCTTCATTTCGGTCCACGTCAGTTTTTAAAAGTTTGTAGCATTTAAACTTCTGTAGTTACTAGCCCTGGCCAGTTGGGCTTAGCAATTAGAGCGTTGGCCTGCAGTCCAAAGGGGCCCAGGTTCGGTTCCCACTAAAAACATGTACCTCAGTTGCAGTTTGTCTCCAGTCCTGGTTGGGGTTGTGTGGGTGGCAACCACTCAATGTATCTCTCTCACATCGATGTTTTTCTCTCTCCCTCCCTCCTGCTCTATCTGAAGATAAATGCAAAAAAAATATCCTCGGGTGAGGATAAATAATAAATAAATTAATTAATTAATAAACTTCTGTAGTTACTGTTTTGAACCATGCCAGGTGCTTTGGGCTGTCCTGCATCTGCCTTTACTGCACACTCACAATATCCCTGTCAGGTCAGATGACTTAATGCTATTCTAGTGGAAACATGGGTTGGAGAAAATCATCCACTCCCCTGGGTCTCCAACCAACACGGCTTCCTTGAGACAGTATTTTACCAGGAAGACGAGTTGCCTTTGTCTGTGAGGCTTTAACAGTATCTTTTAGGGTACTATCTTTTTTTGTCGTTGTTGTTTTTAATCCTCACCTGAGGATATTTTGTTTTTCCTATTTATCTTCAGGTTGAGAGAGAGGGGAGAACAAAGGGGAGAGAGAAAAAAAGAGAGAGAGAGATACACTGATGTGAGGGGGACACATTAACTGGTTGCCTCCTGCATGACCCCGACCAGGGCTGGGGACGAACTGCAACCGAGGTACGTGACCATGGCTGGAATCAAACTTGGGACTCATTGGTCTGAGAGCCAATGCCTCTACTGCTGAGTCAAACTGGCCAGGGCTAGAGTACTGTCTTTTATCTAAATTGGTTTTACGAAGTTATATTGTACTCAAGTTTTCCAAAGAACTTAAGCATTAGTGAAAAGCTGAATTGAAGCTTCACTGTAAAATGTGTGCTGTTAATAAGCCTGGTTTATGCCCTACTTGGGTAGCTCAGTTGGCTAGGGCATCATCCCGATATGTCAAGGTTGCAAGTTTGATCCCTGGTCAGGGCACATACAAGAAGCAACCAATGAGTCCATAAATAATTGGAACAATGAATAAATGTTTTTCTCTCTCTGTCTCCCTTCCCCTCTCTCCCTCTAAAATGAGTAAATTAAAAAAAAAAAAAAAAAAAAAAGAAGAAGTTTGGTTTAGCCCTGGCTAGTTTGGTAGAGTGTCGGCCCGTGGACCAATTAGTCCCGGGTTCGATTCTGACCGGGGGCAGTTCGTGCAGGAGGCAACCAGTCGATGTGTCCCTCTCAAGTCGATGTTTCTCTCTTTCTTTCCCTGAAGATAAATAGAAAAATGTCCTCGGGTGAGGATTAAAAAAAAAAGGCTTGGTTTATTTAAAACATTTAAAAGGCCAATAATGAGATGTTACCTGACAGTGGTGGCACTCACAGTTCTAAAACAGTGTGTTATGAGATTAGCAATAGGAATTTCTCTTCACAGCCATTAAAGATGGCTCCCCCAATCTTTGCGGGATATTATACCATAAAAATTAAAAGAAGAACCAACCACTGAAGTCAATAAGCAGAGGTGTTTAGAGGCTGAAACAGAAGTTGAACTTCAAGACAAATTTATAAAAATGTTTGATATGCTTCTATTACTGGAAATGGAGTGGCTTCTTTCTATCAGAACATTCTTTTTATTTAGGGCCCAACTCTGATATCAAGGTCCCTGACTAAAGTTTTGTTTTTGTTACACTACTGGTTAAGGGACTTACAAAACTTACTTGTCTGGAACAATTGCTGAAAGAACAAATATGAGGATGATGATATCGAGACTATCCCTGGGAATTGGGTAAGGCTTATCTTCATCACACAAATCGTGAACAAAGGCAAAACACCGAGAAGAATCATATGCTGAATTTGTCTGCAGACAGTTGAAACAGAGAGACAACACATGGGTTAGAAGATGTCCAGAGTTTCAAGGTAAGCTAAATTTGCTTTAAGTATAATCAGTTACTTCCCTCTGATGGATAGAGCTCTAATCATCACAGCACATTCTTACTCAAAGGCTAAGAACCAGGAACAATTCTAGTGAAGAGCCAGTGGAATCTAAATGGTGCTTTTAAAATGAAATGTTCCTGATTCTTCTCTTTCATTCTGATGCAGAGACTTAGATCTGAGGGCTGGAAAATGATCAGGAAGGTAAGTGACCAAGAGAGAAAAGAAAAACCTCATAAGGAGAGAGACAAAATGTATTGAAAAAGCATGATTTAAAACTCCCAATCTGTCCTGGCTGGTTTGGTTCAGCGGTTAGAGCGTCGGCCCGCGGTCTGGAGAGACCAGGGTTCAATTCCCGCTAAGGGCACGTACCTCGGTTGCAGTTTGTCCCTGGCCCCAGTTGGGGTCGTGTGGGTGGCAGCCAGTCGATGTGTCTCTCTCACATCCATGTTTCTCTCTCTCTCTCCCTCCCTCTCGCCTCTAGCTCTATCTGAATATGAATGCAAAAATGTCCTCGGGTGAGGATTGATTAAATAAATAAATAAATAAAATAAATCCCCCAATCTAACTACCGCAAATTACATAGGTCATAGAAGTCTCTAGGGAAATCTATTTCTCTAAATGTGGGGGAAAAAGTTTTTTTTTAAAAATATGTTTTTATTGATTTTTTAGATAGAGATGAAGAAGGGAGAGGGGGCAAGAGATAGAAACTGATGAGAGAGAAACATCGATTGGCTGCCTCCAGCATGCCCCATACTGGGAATTGATCCTGTAATCTGGCATGTGCCCTGACTGGGAATCAAACCAGCGACCTCTTGGTGCATGGGACGACGCTCAATCCACTGAGCCACACCAGCCAGGCTACATGTGGAAAATTTAACTTCATATAACAAATGCATTTCAGGGTAACTTCCCTTTGCACGTCTCTTTTCTCCAAAAAATGTGACTTTGTTCCTCATTGGTCACAGCTAATTAAAAAGGAGCAAGTAGATTATCAGCTGGGCTGGGTCAATCAGACTCTTTCTGTAGACTTTGGAAAGGGACACAGTCATTCTGGTGAGGTTCTGAGAACACTTGAACAGGGTTGACTTGCAAGGGACTAGAAGGGGCAAGCATGCTGGGGCCATGTGCAAAACTAGGGTAATCCTACTACAAAAAGTTAGTCTGCAAAGAGAAAACAAATATTAAAAAAGCAAGGGGGCACTGAAATGAGAGATAAGACACTGTGAACTTAAGGAAGATGTAGTGATAGAAAGAAAGGGTGGCAACATCTCACTGGCCAGCCAACCTGCCTTGGTATCTGTGATACCTTTTCAGGGCTGAGTTTCTGTCCTGGCTACACTTCATGTTCTTGGGTTCTATGACATTCCACTTTATTGAGTTTGTCTACATGTTTCTGTGACTTATAACTTAAAGAACCTGAAGTCATCTCACTTCAATCCTTAAAAAATAAATTTGGAGCCCTGGCCAGTTTGGCTCAGCAGATAAGAGCATCGGTCTGCAGACCAAAGAGTCGCGGGTTCGATACCAGTCAAGGGCATGTACCTCAGTTGCGGTTTGTTTCCCAGCCCTGGTTGGGTCGTGCAGGAGGCAACCAGTCAATGTTTCTCTCTCTCCCCCCTTCCTCTCACTCTATTTGAAGATAAATAGAAAAAATATCCTCAGGTGAGGATTAAAAAAAAAAATTGGAGAGGTTAAAAGACCTGCCCAAAGTTCTACAGCTGGAAGGTGGCAGACTCCATATTTACGTTTGGCACTTTCCTCTATTCCAGGCTGTTTCAGTAAATCTTTGACTTTCACACCACAGTACAACAAGAAAATAGCTAGAAACCATGATTTTTAGGAGACCCTTTGCCTTTAACCAGTGAAAATTACTGATAGGAACCACTATACTTACCTGGACCAGCTGTATAGCTGTGGAAGAAAAATCACAACAGTAAACAAAGAGTCTTGGGTCACTGAAATGAGCAGAAAAAAAAGAGCAGAACAATCACATTACTAACTGGATTATGTCTATTCTGAGTAACAGGGTTAAACTATAAAAGATACCACATATTAGCAATGTGACAGGTTTAAATCTCACTAATTTCCCTCATGACAAAGTAACTTATAAATCAGATTAAATCAAAACAATCGTAAATGAATAATGTAGAAATCCAAATCTCCTGTAACCCATGGTTCCCGATTATTACATTTGATGCAGTAAAACTTTTGACTACCAACACCCCTGCTTTCCTCCTTTTTGCTGTTATATATTTAAACTTTACAACATACTTACTTGTTGGTTTGTAAAATTGGAAAGACTGTGTTTCCCACACCACAACCAACCTGCAGACAGAAATGAACTATTAATCACAGAACTTTCCAAATTAATTACCTGAAGCTAGATATATAATCAATAATAGATAATCTTGCCTAATTGTATTAGGGATTATGTAGTGACCAGAGATAAACAGTACCACGGCTTTCTCTGACCTTGACCTCAGAAACCCTTAAAAAGGCAGCATGGGCTTTCATTAGTAGAAGGGAGCTGGTCTAGAAAAAAGTGCATGGGTTGCTTTTACTTTTTTAAAAGTTATTTATTGTTGACAGGGTTGCTTTTACTTTTTGAATTCTAGATGAATTATTTTCTTACTGAGCTCCACTATACCATAGAAAATCATTTCTAATAGACTGGACTGAAAAATTCATGAAAAGGAAAAAGTGATTACACTGTCCTAAGTACAGTGCTGGGTGTGGTAATAATAAAAACAGTGACTTACTAAGGCCTTCCTATGTGCCAGACACTATTCTTAGCTATGTTATATACATCATTTCAACTAATCTTCATAAAACTATGAGGCAGAGAAAGAGTCCTATTCTGCTTAGGGAAAGTAAGAGGTACAAGGTGTTGACACAAAACTCAATTTCACGACTAATCAGGTTCCAGTGGAGTATGTAGTCACCATTTGTGAATTTACATGCCAGTATCCACCTAGACACTTTTCCTGGTCTACCTTGCCTCTACAACACCATGAAAACTCAGAAGACAAGAATTCTCCCACATCCAAGAAGCAGGCACCATCCCAACTAACATCTCCATTTTATAATCATTATTATAAGAGAAGTAACAGAAGTTGTCTTGGGACCTGGGACTCTTTTCAGATGGCAGGTGCAAGGTGACATACAACTTTCAAAAGCAGTATGATGTTCCCAGGTAGCACCTCAGGTGATCTATCTTTGCTACAACCACCAGAAATCTTGGTCTGCATTTAAGGCATTTCAGTTAAAAAATGGAGGTGATTCCTGGTCAACATAAGGGTCAAATCTTCATCAGACATATGTCAATTTGTGATCAGCCTCTCTATGCTGACCATGTACACATTACAACTTTACTAACCCTACTACCCAGGAAATAAAGAAAGGTTACCTCAAGTATTCGATAGGTGGCTAAGGATCCAGGAAACTCATCAGTACAGATTTCCAAGTGACTGAGTTTCTGAGTTACATTTTCTTCCACAGGGAGGGTCTGTGTTTTATGCTCAAGGCCGTCTGAAGAATACTTGTGCTGTTCTTCTGTTATTAAATCAGGTCCGTCCTCTTTATTCCTACATTCAGGCAGTTCATTCTGCTTACTCTCTGACAGCAAATCCATCAAGTGATTTTGGTTTTGACTAGGTGCCAGTTCTGGGAATTCAGTGAAAAGCCAATGCCTGTCCTTGAAAAACCTATTTTCATGGATTTGGTAGAAGTCATTCCAATATTTGTGAGCATTGATCTCATAATCAACTGTAAATATTTAAGAAAAAATGTTAAGAACCATTTCTCAATATTTTATTTGTATCTAATGTCAAATATCACCTTGCTCCATTGAATGTCATTTTATACTAAAAGTATCCTCAATTAGAATTGAGCCACAGCCTCAGAGATGGAGATCATTTAGTCTCACCACCTATCATAGTTGAATTTCCTCTATAACTTGTCCTTTCACGTAATCCAACTTCTGCCAAGGTACTTACTACTTATTGATTCTTCTCCCACATCTGTGGATGGCTCTTAACTATTAGAAAATTCTAATGTTAGCAAAAAATCTGTCTAATCACCTCTGGTCAAGAGGTCTTACCATTTCTCAGGGCCATACAGAACAACTCTTTTGTGTTTGAGGGCAGTTCTTTTCCCCTCTAGATCTTCTTTTATAAGCTCAATGTCCCAAGTTCTTCAGTTGTTCCCCATGAGAACTCAATGGTTCCAATACAGGTAGCACATATTTATTTATTTTATTATTATTATTTTTTTTTATCCTCACCCGAGGACATTTTTCCATTTTTGGTTCAGATAGAGTGGGAGGGAGAGGGAGAGAGAGAAACATCGATGTGAAAGAGACATATCAAGTGGCTGCCACCCATACGACCCAACCAGGACCAGGGACAAACTGCAACCGCGGTACATGCCCTTCATGGGAACCGAACCCAGGTCTCTCTGGACCGCAGGCCGACGCTCTAACCGCTGAGCCAAACCAGCCAGGGCGCGCTTCTTTAAATGTTATTTTGTTCCTGGTTCTTTAGGGTGTGGAACCCAGGAATTAATTCTACTACTACTAGATACTAAAAATGGAAAGAAGGCTGGAAGGAAAATAGAGAATGCTGACAAGAAAAAAAAATATCTTTGGATGATAGAAGGTCAGGATATACTAAAAAAATGTGGACTATTTAAAAGAAAGCTGTTGTTGAAGGTGATCAAGGTTGCCCTAGATTTCAGTTTTCTCTCTTTGCCAATACAGGACCTTGACTAGCATAGTGGAAAATAAAAATCTAAGAAATTGGATTTTAGTTCCATTCACTGCTAGCACTAACTGCTTACCTCTGGGCAAGTCACTTAATGTCCTGAGGTCCCAGTTTCTTTAACTGTAAAAAGAGGATAATGGACCACATGATTTTCAAAATCCCTTCCCACTTCCACTTGTTTTGATCTAGTCTCTGTCAAACTATGTAGGGTAAATATTTTGTACCTGGAATCTTCTAATTGTTATACAGAACTCTTTCAGTGGGTACTACTCTCCAATTTCTAGTCCTACCTTCTATCCTCTCTCAGAACATAGGCTGGACCAATCCTATTTTTAGTATCTAGGAATATTTGGCAGTGAAATCCTCCACCTCTCCAGAAGCGGTCTCTTTTTCTTTAGCCAGGCCTATCTCCATTGTTTCATCCATCTTTCCTTGGCAGAAGCCCTAAACCTTCATAGCCAGTTACACAAGAAAAGGCCATATAATTCATCAGTCATTAGTTCCCTCCTCCAACAACATTAAGAATCTAACCACTTGGAAGTAGCTTCAATAGTAATATTTCCTCAGGCAAAGTGTAATCATGTGGAAAATACATCCTCTAAGACAGTCGTAGGGCGGTTGCCATAGGGTCTAGTCAACATAACTAAAAATTTAGACACTAGAAAATAATATCAACCCAAAATAAAGCACCCTCTATGCCCTGCCAAGATTTTACCGGTGTATCCTTGCACGTCCCCTCCCTCTCCCGTTCTACCCCCGAGTCCAGTAACAAAGGCCCTTGGCTGCCTCGGTTCTCTGGCCTCCCGGAGGGTGCGTCCAGCAGCACGCTGGCCGTGGATACACTACTGAGGGTCGCCCTGGGCGCACCTTGCTTCTCCGGGTAAACCCGCTGGGTACTGTTCTCCCGGACTTTCCTCTCCGCCGCTGCGGCCTGCTCTTCCGACCACTCCACATTGTCCCTGGGAAAATCAAACAGGCAGCTTAGGGGCCTCACGTTCCAGCTGCGGGCAGGGTGAGCAGCTGGCCTCGGAGCGCCTTTCCCGTGGGAACGGAGCGCCTCGAACAGGGCAACCAGACTCGTGGCTGGCGGGGAGGGGCTTCTCGGAGCGCTCCGAGGAGAAGGGACAGAGGGCGGGCCGCAGGTCGGGGGGGAAGGGCCGTTACCAGGCATTGTGGTGGAAGACCCGCATCGGATCGCTCAGCAACCGGCTCCCGAACTGCTGCCTCTTCCCGCCAGCCTCGGCAGGCGCGCCTTCAGGGCAGAAGCCTGCCATGATACCGGAGCCGGAAATACCTGCCTCTCCGTAACGCGAGAACTTCCTGCGGCCACGCCCCTTCCGGAAGACACGGGGTCTGGGCGGGAAAGGCAGAGGCAGGGCGTGGCGGCCCTGTTAGCCGGTGTCTGGGTGGCGCGGGAAGTCCTCCGCGTGGGGCTGGCTCCGAGTTGTGGAAGGGTTCTGGTGGACGTGCATGGTGGCAAGAAAGTGGGAGACGTTCCACTTGAGCCTTCTTTCAATGCCGGGTTCCCCCAGTGCACTCAAGTTGTAAGATTGGGAAAATCTTGAATCCCTTTAAGAATTAAGGGTACCTAATTTCGCCCTGGCCGGTTTGGCTCAGTGGTTAGAGCGTCGGCCTGCGGTCCAGAGAGACCCGAGTTCAGTTCCCGCTAAGGGCACCTAACTCGGTTGCAGTTTGTCCCCGGCCCTAGTTGGTCATGCGGGTGGCAGCCACTCAATGTGTCCCTTTCACATCGATGTCTCTCTCTCTCTCTCTCCTCCCTCTCTCCCTCCCTCCCTCCCATTCTATCTGAACAAAAAAATGGAAAAATGTCCTCGGGTGAGGATTAAAAATAAAAGGGTACCTAATTTCACTGTAGAGCCGATGGAGAGAAGGATTGAGGAAGGTAGCCCGCAGGGTGAGGAAATACGGCAATTTCCAGCCTCTAGAATCAGCTTTTCATAGCGTGAAAAGCTGTGAGTATATGTACACACTTTTTCTCGGGGAAAGATATGAAATAAATAACCAAGGAGAACTTACAGGTTTTTTATAACCTGTTTGAATTATCTGTACCCTAGCTTATTTGCACAATCAAGATTGTAATTCATACACGGATGCAGTTTTGTTTTATTAATACATTTCAGTCTTACAGTTCTATTTCGAGAATTACTACAAACGGATTCTCACAAGAGCCTAAAAGTAGGCTGTCAATATAAAATAAGGTTAGTTGAGAAGACTTTCAGAAGAGTGATGACTACCGTGTGGAAGAAGAGAAGGAAAGGGTTAATTAGTTATTTGAGTAGTGCAGTACTAGACAAGGCACACTGATAACCAGTGATCATTTATTCCATTGCAGATTATTTCCTAGTCAAAGCTGAGGGGAACAATGAGGGATTCTTCTATACCTCTCCCACCAAGGAAACGGGAGCAATTCCCAAACCCCTGTCTAATCACAAAGAAAAATACATGAGTGAAAAAAAAAGATAAGATAGTAAAGAACTTGTACTTTATTTGAAGACAAAATATTCTTGCCACTGTCATGGCCTTTTGAAACATTTTGAACAAAATCTCCCTTCCAAATAAGTACAAGGATTTCTATTTTTTCTCAAGACTAGCTGTTTGCAGATATGGTGGTTGGTTTATACTTACTCTTGGCATCTTGTTCTCTTATCTACAGCATTTTCCCCTCCCCACACCAAAAGCTGTTAGGGCTCCTAATCAATAGCCTCACTTCTTAATTTCTTCTTTTTTTTTATCCTCACCCGAGGACATTTTTCCATTTTTGGTTCAGGTAGAGTGGGAGGGAAACATCGATGCAAAAGGGACACATCGAGTGGCTGCCACCCACACAACCGACCAGGGCCGGGGACAAACTGCAACCGAGGCACGCGCCCGGGAACCGAACCCAGGTCTCTCTGGACCGCAGGCCAACGCTCTAACCGCTGAGCCAAACCGGCCAGGGCATTAATTTCTTGCAGAGAGCTCACTCTTGATATTACTTGTTATATTAGTTCCAATAAGAGTCATTTAAAATGTCTAACAACTTGGGTCCTATTGATGAAATGTGTTATTTTTTAATTTTATTTTTTTCCAGCACCATTTATCCCCCGCTCCCATAACCTCTTTCACCTCCACTACTCCCCTCCCCCCCCGGAAATGTGTTAAAGTATTCTAAAACTTAACTTTTATACAGTTATCTTTGTTTGACTTGCACTTCTAATTTTTCTTCATCTTTTGAAGCACCTAAAATATTTTTTTCCAAAGAAATTTGGAAGACATGGCTGAGTCCTCTGTGGCTGTCAGACTTCGTATCACACTACATTTCAGAGGAGCCAAGGGTCCCTCTGCTGGTGAGTAGTGAGAACTCTTCTAGCTCAGTGGGTGGCATGGGTTCAAAGGATGTAAAGGTTAGGAATTCCACTTTGGATTATTGCCTAGTGTCAACCTGGGACAGGCGTAATTAATTGTTTCATGCTTTTCTTTCAGTATCAATCAGTGGAAATTCTGGTCAGTGTAAGTATGTGCTCTGGAACTGAAGGGTTGAGGAAGACACCCTGGTGTCCTAATTTGCTCTTCTTAAGATGTCATAGAACCTGGACAGCATTTGTAGCAGCCCTAGATAACTGAATAAGCTGATTTAAAAACTTTAATTTTAAAACAGATTTTCTGTTTTTTTTTCTTATTGCAAAATAAATGTATTTACTGTAGAACATTTAGAAGATACTGTAGGTAACAACAAAGAAAAAAAGAAAATATCCTTTCCCATCCTTAATTTAACTCATTACACACTTCGGTTTATAGCCTTCCTGTCCTTTTTCTAATTAATTTATGGAAATAACTTTTAAGTTATTTTCAGAACAAACTTTGTGACCCCATTTTGATAGCTTCATAGAGGTATAATTTACATACAATTAAAATTCATCCATTTTAAGTGTATAGTTCGATGAGTTTTTGTAAAAATCTATATTTGTACAACCAGCATCATAATTAAGCTCTAGAACTGACCTATAAAGTTCTCTAATGCCTCTTAGCAATTGTAGCCTGCTTTTAAACTTAATAATAGCTCATGAACGTCACTCTTTCGTTTGAAATATTCTTTTACAACATCATTGTAATTATTCTGGTGTTTTATATAGCTGTATCATGATTTATTGGACATTTAGGCTTCTTTAAGTTTTTTACTTAAAAATTCAACATGATCAACATCCTTATAACTAAATCATTTTGTACATTCACGACTATTTCTTTTTTTAATCCTCACCAGAGAATATTTTTACATTTATCTTCAGAGTGGGAAGGAGGGAGAGACAGAGAGAGAGACATTGATGTGAGAGAGACACATCGATTGGTTGCTACCCACACGACCCCAACCAGGGTGGGGACAAACTGCAACTGAGATACGTGCCCTTGGCCAGAATCGAACCCGGGACACTTTGGTCCACAGGCCAATGCTCTAACCGCTGAGCCAAACCAGCCATGGCCCATGATTATTTCTTTAGGAATAATTTCTAGAAGTGGCAGTACTGAGTCAATAGTTATAATTAGCTCTGTTACTAAGCTCTGTGAGGTCAGGGCATTTTATCTGTTTGTTTACTGTTGTATATCCAGATCCTAGATCCTGGGTCCAGCACACAGTATGCAACTCAATAAATAATTGGTGAGTGAATGGCTGAGTACCTGTTGCTATACTGTATTCCATCAGAGAGATACCAGTTTATATTGTCACTAACAGTATGTGGCAATTTAATATAAAGAATGTATTAGTGTACATTAAAAAAAAATTTCCAGGATAGATCTACTTTGAAATATTATGCTATTATCCCCTTGATCCAAGGAAGTATTCCAAGAATTCTAATATTTTGGCATCCAAATTATATCTCTTATATTGCCTGTTATACTTGCAGCCATTAAAAAAAAAAAACTTATCAAACCATAGTCTTGTATTTTTGTTAGAAAATGGTCACTTATCTATAAAATTAGTTATTTTTTCCAACATCATAATATTATGAATACTGGCAAGTATACTTAGATGCTTTTGAATATTCAAGGCAACACAAAATTACTTCAAGTCTATTTCATTAAACAGTTTTGGGAGCCTTCACTCTCTTCATTGCTTTTTCCTGGAATGTTATAATTTTACAATGTAAGCCATTGGCACCATCAATATGGAACATGTCCTTTCCTTTCCCCCTTTTTTAAATTTTCTTCTTTTAAAATATATTTTTATTGATTTAGAGAGAGAGGAAAGGAGATGGAGAGAGGGAGACAGAAAGAGACATTGATGTGAGAGAGAAACTTCAATCAGTTGCCTCCTGTATGCACCCCAAGTGGAGATCGAACCCGCAACCTGGGCATGTGCCCTGACTGAGAATGGAACTGGTGACCTTTTGGTGCTCGGGACGACACTCAACCAACTGAGCCACACTGGCCAGGGCTCCTTTTTCTATAAGGGAAAAAATATAATGGATGATAAACATTTAAACATGATTAAAATAGTAAGTTTTATGTATATTTTTCCACAACAAAACAATTACAACCCCCAACTTGTAATATCATTATTTATGTGCTGCTTTATTAAATGCATTTAAAAAATATGACAAAAAGTATAATGGGTGAGTTCTGCTACTTTTAAGAGTATTCTAAGAGATTGGTTTGAAGATATGTGACCAAGGTGCCTTAAGAGCACCCAAATTTAATCAAGATTCCCTGGGGGATGGTGATATTATTTCCTGAAATGGAAAGGTCATTGTCATCTGCTGCCTCTGGACACTTTGACAAAAAAATAAAAAACCTAACACCATTTATAGTCACGTAAACTCGGATGATTATTAGGTGCTCACAAGGGTAAACTGTGTCCAGGTTAAGTGCCTGATTTCAGCTTTTCTCCTTCTGTCCAGGCAGTGTTGAGCCAGGTGAGGGCAGCAGAGTGCAGCTCTTTGCTAGGTAAATAACAGAATGGAATTTATTTACTATAAGAATTAGAAAAAAGAATTAGAAACCATATTATGACTCAAACTTTTTTACTGGTCAGAATTCAAAAGATGTCAACATTTCCAGCTGCTAAGAATGTAGTAGACAAAAGCAAGAAACCATAATTTTGATATCTATGAAAAAGTAGTTTGCAATGAGCTGCTTAGAAAATGTAGAAATTTCATTGTCGAAATCCTTTGGAACCTTTTCGTTTTCTTTTTCTTCCTGTCTCTATGTCACATTCACTGCTACTCGAAGAGGAAGAGATTGAAGAATTGTGGAAGGAATTTCTATTCATGTAGGCATCATATAACCTTAAGTCCTTTGGGGAAAGTAATTCTTGACAAACATTCCAGGACCATGTATAAGTAGAAAAGGTGTCATAAAAAGACTCATTTTTAGTGTCTATTCCAATCAAATCCCCTCGGATCTTCTGCCAGAGGTTTAGCATTTCTTTCCGGTGCTCAAGAGCAATTCCTAACTTATAGGTATCTATAGCTCTCTTCACCTGCAGTGAGAAAGCAGAAGTTTACAATAGTTACCTTAAAATATCTTTGATTTGTGAACCACAATGCTAGATATCCCAAGAGTTATGTTCCCAGGCTACTTGAAAGTCACTGAGTTTATACATTGGGTAGTGCCGCTTGAGTTAGAAATTGATGAACAGTGAAAATAAATTACTTTGAAATAATGAGATAATAAATTTTATAAGAGTATTAAAAACACAATAGCCCTGGCTGGTGTTGCTCAGCGGTTAGAGCTTCGGCCCTCGGACCAGAGAGTCCCAGGTTCAGTTCCCACTAAGGGCACGTACCTCGGTTGGTTTGTCCCTAGCCGCGGTTGGGGTCGTGTGGGTGGCAACCACTCGATGTGTCTTTCTCACATCGATGCTTCTCTCTCTCTCTCTTCTTCCCTCTCTCCCTCCCACTCTATCTGAAGATAATGCCAAAACATGTCCTCGGGTGAGGATAAAAAATAAAATAAATAAAATAAAAACACAATAGACTAAAACGAGGAACTGTGGGATGGAAATGGGCTCCAAATAATACCAGTGCCAAGGATGGCTTTCAGTACACCCTAGATTGGGGAGGGAGAAGATGCTGAGCTGAGCAGGTCCTCAAGGATTTGGTCGAATTGAGAAAGTGGTGATGGGAAGGTGTTCCAGAGAGAGAGGATAATATAAGCAAAGGCTCAAAGGCAATAAACATCCTGAAGTTGGCGGGGAAGAGGTGTAAAGCACATCACGATTGTTAAAGTGTTAAGTTTAAAGTGATGAAGGCAAGACAGGCCAGGCCTGCTGTAATCAGGCCCTTAGACTTGGTCTCAGTTAGGCTGGGGAGAACCCTTTCCTCAGTGAGAGTCACTTTTTCTGATGGAAGTGAGATAAATTCCTCAATTGTGTGGAGCAGAAAATATAGTTGAAAATCCTGTTATCATTGAGAGGGAAGCATCATCTTTTAAATTTTTTTAAATGTGTTTTTAATGGATTGAATGCTCTGATAAAAATACACAGAGTAGCCCTGGCCGGTTTGGCTCAGCGGTTGGAGTGTCGGCCTGCGGTCCTGAGAGACCCGGGTTCGGTTCCCGCTAGGGGCGCGTACCTCGGTTGCAGTTTGTCCCTGGCCCTGGTCGGTTGTGCGGGTGGCGGCCACTCGATGTGTTCCTTTCGCATCGATGTTTCTCTCTCTCTCTCTGTTCCTCTCTCTCCCTCCCACTCTACCTGAACAAAAAATGGGTAAGGATAAAAAAAAAAAAATACACAGAGTAGCTGATTGGACAAGAAAGTATGACTCATCTATGTTGTTTACAAGAGACCCACCTCACAACAAAAGACTCAATAGGTTGAAAGTAAAGGGATGGAAAAAAAATCTTCCAAGCAAACGGAAAGAAGAAAAAGCTGGGGTAGCAATACTCATATCTGATAAAATAGACTTCAAAATGAAGGCCATAACTAGAGACAAAGAAGGCCACTACATGATATTGAAAGGATCTATCCAACAGGTAGATATAACCTTGATAAACATATATGCACCCAATATAAGGGCACCAAAATATATTAAAAATCTTCTGGAGGACTTCAAAGGAGACAATACAATCATAGCAGGGGACTTCAACACCCCGCTGACATCACTGGATAGATCCTCTAGACAAAAAATTAGCAAGAAAACAGATGCTAAATGAAGCACTAAACCAAACGGATTTAATAGATATCTACAGAGAATTACACCCCAAAACTAGAGAATTCACATTCTTCTCAAGTGCACATAGGACATTCTCAAAGATAGACCACATATTAGGACACAAACTAAATCTCTACAAGTTCAAGAAGACTGAAATCATATCAAGCATCTTCTCAGATCACAATGACATGAAACTAGAAATCAATTGCAACAAGAACATGCAAAGACATTTGAACACATGGAGGCTAAATAGCATGTTATTAAACAATGAATGGGTTACCGAGGAGATCAAGGAATAAATTAAAAAATTCCTGGAAACCAATGAAAATGAACACACAACAACACAAAAATCTATGGGATGTAGCAAAAGCAGTTCTGAGAGGGAAGTTCATAGCACTACAGGCCTACCTCAAGAAACAAGAAAAATTTCTAATAGACTATCTAACCTCACAACTTAAAGAATTAGAAAGCAAACAAAAAGAAAACTCCAGAGCAAGTAGAAGGAAGAAAATAGTAAAGATCAGAGCAGAAATAAATGACATAGATACCAAAAAAACAATTCAAAGGATCAATGAAACAAAGACCTGGTTTTTTGAAAAGATAAACATGAATGATGGACCCTTAGCTAGACTCACCAAGAAACAGAGAGAACCCAAATACATAAAATCAGAAATGAAAGAGGAGAAGTAACAACTGACCCCACAGAAATACAAAGGATCGTTAAGTACTATGAACAATTATATGGGAACAAATTAGACAATCTAAGCGAAATGGACAAATTTCTAGAAACACATAGTCTCCCAAAACTGGACCGGGAAGAGATAGAAAATTTGAAGACCAATAACAAGTAAGGAAATTGAAGAGGTAATCAAGACTCTCCCAGCAAACAAAAGCCCAGGCCCGGACAGCTTCACGGGGGAGTTTTACCAAACATTCAAAAAAGAACTCGTGCTGGCAGGTGTGGCTCAGCTGTTGGAGCATCGGCCTGCGGACCAGAGAGTCCTGGGTTTGGTTCCCGCTAGGGGCATGTATCAAAAAACAAACAAACAAACAAAAAACACAAAAAACAAAACAAACAAACAAAAAACAACAAAAAAGAACTAACATTCTCCTCAAACTATTTTTAAAAATTCAAGAAGAAGGAAGACTTCCTAACTTGTTTTATGAGGCCAACATAATTCTAATTTCAAAACCATAAAAAGACACTACAGAGAAAGAAAACTACAGGCGAATATCCCTGATAAACATAGACGCCAAAATCCTGAACGAAATACTAGCAAATCGGATCCAGCAATACATCAAAAAAATTATTCACCATGACCAGGTGGGATTCATCCCAGGGATGCAAGGCTGGTACAATATTCGCAAATCAATAAATGTGATGCACCACATAAATAAAATGAAGAATAAAAATCACATGAACGCCCTGGCCGGTTTGGCTCAGCAGTTAGAGCACCGGCCTGTGGTCCAGAGAGACCCGGGTTCAGTTCCTGCTAAGGGCACGTACCTCGGTTGCAGTTTGTCCCCGGCCCTGGTTGGGTCGTGCGGGTGGCAGCCACTCGATGTTTACCTTTCATGTTGATGTTTCTCTCTTTCTTTCTTCCTCTCTCTCCCTCCCACTCTATCTGAGCAAAAAATGGAAAAGTATCCTCGGGTGAGGATAAAAAAAAACACACAAAACACATGATCATATCAATAGAGGAAAAAGCATTTGACAAAATCCAGCATCCATTTCTAATAAAAACGCTCAGCAATGTGGGAATAGAGGGATCATTTCTCAACATAATAAAGGCCAAATATGAAAGACCTACAGTCAACATCATACTCAATGGGCAGAAAATAAAAGCATTTCCCTTAAGAACAGAAAAAAGACAAGGATGCCCACTTTTGCCACTCTTATTTAACATAGTACTGGGAGTTTTAGCCACAGCAATCAGACATGAAGAAAAAATAAAAGGGATCCAAATTGGAAAGGAGGAAGTGAAACTGTCATTATTTGCAGATGACATGATATTATACATAGAAAACCCTAAAGACTCCATCAAAAATCTACTAGACTTAATAAATGAATTTGGCAAAGTAGCAGGATACAAAATTAACATCAAGAAATCGACGGCATTCTTTTTTTTTTTTTATCCTCACCCGAGCACATTTTTTTCATTTTTTGTTCAGATAGAGTGGGAGGGAGAGAGAGGAAGAGACAGAGAGAGAAACATTGACGTGAAAGGGACACATCGAATGGTTGCCACCCACACGACTCAACCAGGGCCCGGGACAAACTGCAACGGAGGTACGTGCCCTTAGCGGGAACCAAACCCAGGTCTCTCCAGACCGCAGGCCAATGCTGATGCTCTAACTCATGAGCCAAACCGGCCAGGGTTCAATGGCATTCTTATACACCAATGATGAGCTCACAGAAACAGAAACTGAAAAAACAATCCCATTTACCATCGCGGCAAAAAATTAAGATACCTAAGAATAAACTTAACCAAAGAAGTAAAGGACCTATTTGCAGAAAACTACAGGACATTGAAAAAAGAAATAGAGGAAGATATAAAAAAGTGGAAGCACATACCTTGTTCATGGATTGGAAGAATTACCATAATTAAAATGTCTATATTACCCAAAGCAATCTATAGATTCAATGCAATCCCCATCAAAATACCAACGACATATTTCACAGAACTAGAGAAAATACTTCAAAAGTTCATATGGAACCAAAAAAGACCCTGAATAGCCACAGCAGTCTTGAAAAAGAAGGACAAAGTAGGTGGGATCACAATACCAGATATCAGGTTATACTACAAAGCTACTGTAATCAAAACAGCCTGGTACTGACACAAGAACAGGCACATAGATTAGTGGAATAGAACAGAGAACCCAGAAATGGACCCAAGACATTATGCTCAATTAATATTTGACAAAGGAGGCAAGAGCATACAATGGAGTAAAGACAGCCTCTTTAATAAATGGTATTGGGAAAATTGGACAGCTACATGCAAAAAAATGAAACTAGACCATCAACTTACACCATACACAAGAATAAACTCAGAATGGATAAAAGACTTAAATGTGACCCATGAATCCATAAAAATCCTAGAAGAAATTATAGGCAACAAAATTTCAGACATTATATGCAGCAGAATTTTCACTGATACATCACCTAAGGCATCAGAAACAAAGGAGAAAATGAACACATGGAACTACATCAAACTAAAAAGTTTCTATACAGCAAAAGAAACAACCATCAAAATGGAAAGGCAACCCACTGTATGGGAGAGCATCATTGCCAATGATACATCAGATAAGGGATTTTTTTTTATTTTTT